TGAAATTCGAACCCATCACGCACATCCATCGCAAGGCGTGGTAACCCAAACTGCGAGAACTCCCTCGGCCCTTTCATCGCAAGGTGTGGTAACCAAGCCCTTAAACCATACACGTCTTACCAATCGCCAGGTGGGGTAACCCCGCTTGTGATCAGTTGGTTTTGCTGATTGCGACTCGGCTTCGCATGAAGTTTCGATACTACTTCACGACAGCGCCAAGGCCTCATGACTTAGCTCTTCCATGGCCCATTCTCCGAGAGAGGGGGCCGGCGGCAGGGGGCGAAGCCCTTACGGATAAAAATCGTCCCGAGACTATTTTTTACGATGTTTGAATATTCCTCCTGTAGAGGGACACGCCCGACTTAACGATAGTGGGGATGGGCAATGGCGGGAACGCATCGGTCCCCAATCGCCCATTGATAGCAGATGGGGGCCCGATCGCCCCACGGCGCGGATTCACTATCGGGGGCCGATCGCCGATCTACCAGCGATGTATCGCCGATCCCAGGTCGATGCATCCCCCCCTATGACGGTCCCCCCCTATCGTTACCCCCGACAAGGGGGGGGGGGGGGCGGCGGCGCTCCGGGGATAGCCCAAGCGGGGGGGCTGCCGGCGCGGCAAAGAGGGCGGCCGCCCTGCGATCCTGGCGTGGCAATGTGTTCCCAACCGGCGTCTGCACCCAGTTTTGGGCTCGGGGAGCGGCGCAGACAGATTGGGTCTGGGGCTTTGGTCGTGAATTGTCACGACGATGTAATTTTGTTGCTGCGTCGGATCTCAGAATGCTACGGCGTGTAAGTGTCGTGCCGACCGTCGCGCTGGTTTCTGACACGGTGTGGTTCGTTCAACCTTCACCGATCAGCGGCTTATTGATCGCCAGATTCTGGGCCAGTGGCGGCGTTCAACCTCGAACGCCCACGCTGGGGTCGCTGCCGAGTGGCTACGGCAGGAACCCACAGTACATTTTGTTTTCGACGCAAAATGAACCCATGACCCTCTGTACGACAAGAACTGTGCGGCGGCAGGATGCGTTCGTCACGGAATACCTTTTGGTGGTGAACATGCCAAAGGGTTCGTCAAAACTTGCATGCCTGAAATGACCCTTGACATGGCTGGATGTGAGAAGAAAAAAAATGAGGAAGGATCATGCCAACCCTGACACCCGACGTCGCAAGAACATGGCAACATCGCGGGAAATCACGGCGAGAACCCCAGACCCAACTCGTACTGCGGTGTGCACACCAATGCATCGCCTGGATCTCAGGGTACGATCGACCTCGCGTTGGCCGCTTGCGCGAGAACTCGGAGGGACGCCAACAATCCACCTCCAGCCCTGGCCAGGCCCATCCTGGGCCCTGGACAGGTGTATTGACTGCCAGGCCTAGGCCAGGGGGGCCTCTATACCAGTCCAGGGCCCAGGATGGGCCTGGCCAGGGCTGGAGGTGGTGTATTGTTTGGATCTCTCCCAAGAACGTCCGCGCGATCGGTCCCCCCGGTTTGATACGCCGCTCACCTGCGGGTCGTCCGTCGCGACGAAGAAGGCCTCCACCGCGGCTCCTCCAGGGAGACCGTCCTCGAGCCTGCGGTCCATCTCGGCGTAGAAGAGCTCGTCGGGGGAGTGCAGGATGCACGTCTTGTGGTCCGTCCTCGGGTGGCAGAAGATACTGACACCCCTGCTCCCCTGGATCCCCCCCTAGAGGTCATCCACAAACGCACACATCACGCTCTCGAGCCCAAACCCGGACCATGACCCTAAACCTGACCCTATTCCCCAAACAATGTTTACACTTGGGGATCCGCACTTGCCTTTTAAGGTAACTGGGCCCCCGTGGTGGACTGGCCCGCTCGTCGCCGCCCGTCGCCGCCCGTCGCCGCCGTCGCCGCTGGGTCCCTTCCGGCTGGCTCGTCTCTGCCCGTCGCCTCCCGTCGCCGCTGGGCCCTCGTGGCGTTCTGGCCAGCTAATCGCCGCCCGCCGTCGCGTTTCATCGGATTGCGCTGCATTGCTCGGCGTTGCAGCGCATTGCTCTGCATCGCCTTGCGCCACATCGGTTGCACCACATGGGTTGCACCATCCAGAGTGCATCACATTGATTGCACCACCTGTATTTCACCGCATATGTTGCAAGAAATCACTGCTTGGAGTCACTCAGGGTATCTTTCTTGTCTTCTCTGGCCCAGGTGGCGGTCTGGCCGGCCCGTCGCCGCCCGGCGCCGCTTGGCCCCCGGTGGCGGTCCGGCGGGCCCATCACCGCCGTCGCCGCTGAGCCCCAGGTGGCGGTCCAGCCTGCTCGTCGACGCTCGTCGCCGCGTGCGTTGCATTGCGCCGCATTGCTGTGCACTGCTTTGCATTTGCTCCGCACTGCTTTGCATTGGTTTGCATCGCAACGCAGCGCATTGCAAAGCATGCGTCGCATGGATTTGCATTGTTGTGCGTTGCTTTGCATACTTATGCCTTGCAGCGCCCTGCTTTGCATTGCTGTGTGCCGCATAGATTGCACCACGTAAATTGCACCGCTATAATGCACCACAATGGGTCCCCTGTCCGAAAATTAATCAGATCGACCTCCCCCCACCCACACACGGAATTGGCAGTACCCCCGGGACAACACAATTTACATATGATGTTGCTCACTCGCTTGATCTCGGCATTGATCGGTCCTCCCTTCATCCTTGTCAAATAACACTCTGCGCGCACACTTGCGAATCACAACCATGCCAGCAATCCTTCGCAACAGAAGGCCCAACAACATCTAGACGCACGCGTCGTAGCACGCGCATGCCCCGATAATGTAAAACATAAGACGCAGCTTTCGCAGGGAATTCAAGATCGAATTTCCCGAATGAGACTTGCGTTGCCGCATATTCCCCCCGACAAGAAATTCGGGCGAGCGTTTGCGTAGTCTTGACAATACCATCGTTCTTCCAAGTTTTCATCAAATGGCACCAAGCGGGCCTCTCACGCGCGCATGTCAAAATCATTCGAACGTTTTTGCTGGTTTCCTTTGGGGGGGGGGGGGGGCGATCCCTGTCAAACAATACAATGCTGGCTACTCGCCCGCGTCGGCCGCGCGCGAATGTCGAAACCTTTTCAAACCCTCACCACCGACCCGCGGACACCTTCATCGTCACCAGTGTGACCAGCATCGGCGCCGTCATCGGCCTCACCGCCGCCATCGTCATCATCGTCACCATCATCGTTACTGTCAGCATCGCGCCTGCCGCTGTCGACGTCGCCATGACCCCGCGCCCGCCCGAATCACCGACTCGCAATGAAGTGCCCGCGCGTCAGCGCGGCTTGGTAGATGCGCTGGGAAGTCCTCCAGCGGTTGCGTCGGTCGCGCCAAACTAACTGGCCGCTATGCGCGCGAGCCTTCGCGCAGTAGCACGGCCGCGGCGATGCGCCAGCCAGCGCCAAGATGTCATCGCAATCGCCGCCGCATGGGTTTTGCAAACCACGTTGCGAGTGGGCGGGCGGGGTCACAGCGCGAGCCGTGGAGTTGACAACTTCAAGTTCTGCACGGTGAATTTCACCACCTGAAGAGCACCGCATAGGCTGCAAGAAACCACTGCTTGGGGCCCACGATGACTGACATTCTTCATACAACTGCCACCCTCAAATATTCTGCAGCAGTGTGTTTTCTCACACTCTTGCTAATTACGCAGCCGCGCCTCTGCGCCTTGCGCTCCTTCGGGGCGCCCGCGAAGGACTTCACGTTCTGAGTGGATCCCGCCTCTGCGCGCCTTTCCCGCATCTCTCTCCGCTTTCTGTGCCCCAAGTCGTTCCCGGCGCAGGCCGCCCGTGGCCCGACCGGCGCCTGCACCGGCTGCGACCCGCTTGCTCCCGCGGACTGAAACGAGGTGTCTTCCTTCTCGTGCCCTCGGCGCTCGAAGGTCCGCGCGGACCTCCCGCATCGCCACTGGGCCCCACTCGCCAGCGCGCGGAGCGCTCCACGGACGGCGCGCGGAGGCGCCCCTGGCGCCGTCCCCGGCGTGCGCCGCGCGCCCGGCGAGGGCGGCCCAGCGCCGATCCTCGAAGCCCGCGCGGGACTCACAGAGTGCACGTTTGCGACTTGTTGTTCTTGCGTTGCTCGTCTCTTCTCTCTCCTCGCCATCCCCACGATCAGCTACCAACTCTCCTGGCTCGCCGCGCACGTGCCGGCTTTCCGCTCGCGCGCGTGCCGATACGATAACTTATGTGTATGCCGCTTTTGCTAGGGAGCAAACGAACCTACCTCGCTTTTGACCACCCCCGCTTCCAAGAGCTACCAAGCGATGCCAAACTACGGCCCGCACTGGTCAGGCCGCTCGACAGGGAGCCGCGTGGTATGACTTGGTTTTGTCCGGGAGCGAACGCGGGGTAGGTAACCCACGCTCTGATTTGCGTCTTCGAGACGCCGCTGCCCCTTGGATCTCTCCCGGACAGCGTTCTGGCCAGGATTCCGCAGCGAATCCGGCCGCGGCGGCCAGGAGGCCCCCGCGGAGGCCCCCACGGAAGCGAGGGCGAGGGCAGGGCATTATGGCACAGCAGGCTCGCGTCGCGACGACGTCGGCGTTGGATCCCGACGCGGAGAGGATCGTTCGAGCTCGGACGATCGCGGCTCTGCAAGAGTCGGGGGCGGCCAAGAGGGGGGCGTGCAAGAGGGGGGGGCGCAAATCATGGCCGGCGGCATGTGCGCGGCCCAGGGGGGGGCCAGGGACGTAATGAAACAAGAAGAGGCGCCATGAAATCTGTGGAAATATCATGCATGGCCCACGCCATGATATCCAACCCCCCCTAGTCATCACCCCCCTCTTTGCCGCCCCCGAAAGAGCGCAGACTGTTTGATGTTAGCCGGTTCTGGGGCACTGGAGGCGCTCCAACTCGAACACCTGCGCTGGGGTCGCCACCGCATCGACACGGCACGAACCGCACCCAGACATCCCCCCATCTGACTTTTCAACCCGCAGCCCCAGAACTCCCGACCCCTTCCCTGGGGGGGGAGTTCTTCGCCCCGGATAGAGTTCTGATGGCCCCGGGGGCCCGATGCCAGGCCCCAGAAGCCGAAGTCGAAGAAACGCGCCAGCATCGAACAAACAAAATCATCTAGGCGATCTGGGACGGCATCTTAGGAGGCAGCTCCTGAGAAGTCTTCGCAAGAGCGAGGGAGGGCAATCACGCCCCATTGCGAAGCCGTTGAGCCGGACTGCCCCAGATCAAGCCCAGGACTAAGCTTCTGCCGGATTCGGCTCGTTTTCGACCACGAGCCGAATCTGAGTATACTCCGTATACTCCCCCCCCTCCCGATGCTGCAGCCTGACTTACTTACGCAGGCCGAAAGATTTTCCTCTTGAGCCCCACATGTCGGAAGCGACGCGCCGATCCCCTCTGTTCTCCTCCCACCTCCTCTTGCCTCTCCCCTCATCCTTCCCCTCTTCATCCTGGGAAGACCCCCCCTTCTGTTCTAATATATTTTTAGTCCAAGAGGAAAAAAACCTTCGGCCTGGGGATGTATGCAATCGGAGCGCTTTCTCTTCTCCGATGTCCGCCGCACGTGCACGCCGACGGTCCGGGGGGGCAACTCCCAGAGGCGGTCGGCGACGGCGGGCGCCGGCCGGAGCTGGTTGAGCTTGCGCGACTGCTCCTCTGCGCGGAGGCCACCCTGTGCACCACCGCGCGCGCTTGGCCTTTGGGCCATCCTGCAGGGGGCCCTGGCGTGGTACACGGTGAGCTCGATGCTCGCTCTGGAAGCCTGCTCCACTCTTGCGGCCGACGCTGCGTCGGACGTCCGAGGACGTGAGTCGAACCTGAGTCGAACATGAGTCGAACTTGAGTCGAGCTAGGGTCGAAAGAGTCGAGCAAGTCCGTTCAATGCGCCCCAGGAAGGCCACCGAAATGAGCATCTAAAGGGGTGCGCACGCCATCCCAGGGCACATGATGGCCCTGGCCAGGCACGGCAGGCATGAGCCGGAAACTCGACATCGGGTCGGATCGGAAACGGATCGGGTCGGAAACGAGTTGTCCCGAATCGAATCGAAACCAGATCGCCGCGCCCGCTTCCGACTGTCCCCAGCCGACGCCAACAAATCCGACCGAGTCGGAATCGCGGCCCCAGCGGCCGAATCGCATCGCATCGAGTCGGACCGCAGGCGGCCCTGCACAGTGCGGGTGCACACGAGTGCCCTCTGCGTCTCCTCGGCGGCGGCGGCGCGGTCGTCGGGGAGCGCCGGGTAGAAAGGGCTGTATGATGGGCCTGTTTCCCACCACCACCACCACCATAAGTTGAGGGGGGGGGAGGAGGACGAAGGGGAGGAGGAGGAGGACGACGAAGGGGAGGAGGAGGAGGAGGAGGACGAGGAGGAGGAGGAGGAGGACGAGGCGGAGGAGGTGGAGGAGGAGGAGGAGGAGGAGGACCCCCTCCCCCTCCACCTTATGGTGGTGGTGGTGGTGGAAAACAAGCCCACCACTGTAGGCGCGCACCGCGATGCAGCCCGCGCGGAGGAAGGCCGGCAGCGCGCCCGGCTTGCGCCCCTTGAGGCGCGGCATGCCGCGCCAGGCGGGCGAGTGCGTGTCCACGAAGTGGGCCAGCCCGCTGCGGAACGCGCTCGCATGCGCCGCGTCGAAGGCGTCCACTGCTTCCCTCACCTCGGCGGCTCAGAGACGAGAGCGCTTCCTTACTACCCCCCTGTTAAACGTCCGTGACAAGGGTGCAGGGGGGGTCCGGCCGCCGTGGGGGCCGTCTCCATGTTTTGAGGTTCCCGAGCTGTTTCTATCGTTTTTCCTCTTTCTTCCTCTCGATGTCCTCCTTGACTTCTTCCTCTCTTTCTCTCTCTCTCTCTCTCTCTCCCTCTATATCATTATCCTTTCTCCTATTCCAAGCTATGTTTTATGGTGTTTTGTTATTATAACCTCCTCCTCTCTTTCTCTCTCACTCTCTCTCTCCCTCTTTCTTGATCTTCATCTCTATGTGTTTAGAGGCGGGGAGAAGTTGGGGCCCCTCAAAATCAAGCTTCGTTTTCGAAGATGCTGGTTGAAGGAAGCAGCTCGTAGAAGAGAACGGGAAAATGAGGAGGGGAGACAAGACGAGAGGGGAAACGAGAGCGAGGGGAGAGTAGGGAGGAGGAGCAAGAGGAAAAGAAGGCGAGAGGAAAATAGAGGAGGGAAGAGGATCCATTTCTAATCGGATTCCATTGGAGGTGGATCCGTATGTCCGCCGGCCCCCTTGCGGGGCCATCAGGCTGCGAGGATTAAGGTTGCTGCTCCCTGCGCCAGTTCCAACTTCCAGTTTCTATTGTTACAGTACTGCCTTCTGCTTCCTATTGTAAACCGTTGCTGTCCGCGCGAGGGGGCGGGGCCCCCAAGCCATAATCCCTTGCAAATTCCGCTGTGTTCGCGCCCCCGAGGCCACGATCCCTCGTAAATTACGCCAAATTCGCGTCTCCGAGGCCACGACCCTTCGTAATTTACGCCGCAGTTGCGTCTCCGAGGCCATACTGGGTGGGGGGAACGCATGCGTGCGGTTCCAACGGGGCCTTCGGTGGAACGTCCTATGGGGTGTCAGGGGTTGCCAAAGTGGAGGGGAGGGGGCGGCATGTGAACGCAGCAACTGGGGCCTTCGGTGGAGCTCCATATGGAGCCACGAAACGTGTGAGGGTGTGCCAAAGTGGAGGGGGGGGCGGCATGCGAATCATGCCACTGGGGCCCCCGGTGGAGCTCCCCACAGGGCCACGAAACGTGTGAGGAGTGCGCCAAAATGGAAGGGGGGGGGGGCGACATGCGAATCCTGCCACTGGGGCCTCCATATGGGGCCACGGAACGCGCGAAGGGTGTGCCAAAGTGGAGGGGGTGCGGCATGCGAATCATGCCATTGGGGCCTTCGGTGGGGCCACGAAACGCCGTGCTGGGTGGAGGAGACGCATGCGAATCATGCCACTGGGGCCGTCGGTGGAGCTTCTGGGGGAACGCATGCGAACACTGCGAACACCGCCACCTGGGCCTTCGGTGGGGCTCCTTATGGGGCCACGAAACGTGTGAGGGGTGTACCAAAATGGAGGGGGGGCGGCATGCGAATCATGCCCCTGGGGCCTTCGTTGGAGCTCCCTATGGAGCCACAACGTGTGAGGGGTGTGCCAAAGTGAGGGTGACGGGAGGAGGGAGGAAGAGGAGGAGGAGGAGGAGGAGGAGGAGGAGGAGGAGGAGGAGGAGGAGAGAACGAGGAGAGAGGTGGAGACGCGGGGTCTCTGTTTCCATAACGGGGACCCAACTCAACACAGGATGGTTGGGACAAAAGCCCTTTCGACGGGGCCCGGTGGGATGGGGCCCCGAGGACAAGTGGCCGCACACGGTGAAAGTTCAGCTCAGGATCCTCCTTCTCCTACCCGTAGTGCCCCATCCCTGAACCCTGAGATCCGACAGTGCACCAAGAACTGCAACACTGCAGAAGATCGCGACTGGAGCTCCAGATGTCATCTTTCCGCGTCGGTTTCGGAGGGGCGCAGAGCTGCAGTGAGCCCGCGGCCCGCCAAGAATTCCAAGAAGCCAGCTCCAAGAAAGGTTTCGCCCCCGGGGCGCGAGTCTCAAATGCCAGGACTTCCGCCCACTCCCCGCTGGCAAGACCAAGAGTGTTCGATGTTGGTCTCGTTGGTTCTGCATTCTTGGTTCTCTTGGTCTGAGGGGCGCGGCGGTGCGCCGCCGGCCGGTACCAAGAGTACCAACAATGCCTGCCAAGATTGCAAATGATATCAAACCAATACAGCCGGCCCGTATCAGAAGGATGCACGATAGGATGCAAGGGCATTGGACGCTCATTTAGACGCTTTGCGAGCGGAGCGCTGCCAACCAAAGTGGTCAGGGATGAACCGATGAAGCAAGAACGCAAGGGTACCATTGGGAAGGATGCACATCCTTGTTATGCGGGTTGACTGTAATGCAGATCATGCCAACTCATCGTCATAGTGTTGGTAACAAGTTGTCTCGGACCAGGAATGTGAACTCTTGGCGTAGAAGTCATGGAATTCCAGAAACTATTGGTCAGGCCGCTGACCTACTACAAGCGCGCGCCCTTAAGGTCATTCTCGAGCCAGAACGATCTGCCCAAATCATCCGCTACCGAAAACTTCTGGTAACACTCTGATCGAACTGGTCGCGGCCGCGAAACTCGGCACGAGGTCACAAATTCTGGTAACGAGCGAGCCGTCGACGTCGTCGAAACCCTCGCTTGGACAAGGCGCGCTGTCTCCTCGTTACCGAAATTCGATGCCCTTTAGTCGCGACCGAAGTATGGCGCGATCGAAATCCGTTACCAAACGTTGCTGGTCGCGGATGATCTGGGTGTGCGGGGCCCGGGGCCCCTAAAACAGGTCCCAAACTCCCATTGCGAGAGAAAGAAGGCGCCATGATCTGAGGGCGGACTGATGCCGACACCGATGACGCCAGTCCCCGGACCTCTCTCGGGGTGCGGTCTGACCAGCACCCCGAGGCGAATGCAGCCGTGGCGACGAGAGCCTGCCAGGAGGCCCACAGAGGCGCAAAGGAGTCCAGGGTGGCGGTCTGTGGCAGCTCACGGAGCCTCCCATACCATCTCGCTGGCTCTTGCGAGTCGACGCTGGCCGACGCTACTCGACGCGAGTCGACGCCAATCGACGCAAAATTGGCGCTAGATCGGCGCTTTTTCACCCAGCGCACGCCAACGCCCTCCAAGGACGGAACTGCCATGACACACAAGGCTCCCATGAGTTGCCACCGAAGTATCAGCATCGGTGCGCGCTCCTCCTCTGAGCCTCTGAACCGCCGAATCACCGAGCCCGCCCCGTCGGCGGCCCTGCAGGCGTCGCTCCACAGGCCAGCCAGCCGCGCCCCGGCCCGCAAGGCCTCTGAGCGCCGACGGAAGGGGGACTGGCACAGGGAGGGTGTGGGGGGACGGGACATCGACCTGGAATCGGCTACGCATCGCCGATGAATCGGCGCCCCCGAGAGCGGAACCGCACGCTCCAGGGCGGGCCGATCGGGCCCCCACCGGCGATGAACGAGCGATTGGGGTTAGGCTGGGCATGTCCTCCTACAGGAGGATTTCGGAAGACACATCACAAGTAGTCGAAGCATGCTCGACGATAGTCAACAACAAAATAATCATCCCCATCCTATTCTCTGGCCAGTCTTGAAAATTCCGCTGGTAGAGGGACATGCGCGACATAAAACTGGGGGCCGATGCGTCCTCCTCTGAGCCTGCCCCCCCTATCGCTGCCCCTGGGCCTCGTGCTGCCGCAGCAGCTCCTCGGTGAGCAGGTGAAGCCCCTCCACGGGCACGACCAGGCGCTCCCACGGGCACCGGCAGGCCGTGCTCAGCCGCCAGTCCAGGGCCACGCGCCTGTCACGAGCGGCGGCCGGATCCGTATCCGCGCCCTCGCGGTCTGGACTCCAGGACGCGATCCTGCGGATACGCGGTCTCGGGAGCGGCCAAGAGGGGGGTGTCCAAGAACGGGGGTGCAAATCATGACCGGCGGCATGTGCGCGGCCCAGCGGGGGGGCCAGGGACGTGATGAAATAAGAAGGGGCGCCATAAAATCTGAGAAAATATCATGGCCCCCGCCATGATATCCAACCCCCCCCCTAGTCATCACCCCCCTCTTTGCCGCCCCCAAGAATACGCGGTCGCGCGGATAGGGTCCGCGCCGGGCACCCGCGAGCAAACACCCCGTGCCCGCGGGGTCGCGGCCCAAGGGCCCGGCCGGCGGGGCCCTCCCTCCCTCCCTCTCTCCCTCCCTCTCTGCCTCCTTCCCTCCCGCGGAGGCGCACATGCGCGCTCGCCCACGAGCGCCTGCCGAGGTCCTCCGCCAGCAGCATGGCCGCCACGACGGCCCGCAGCCGGTTGCAGAGGCCCTTGGCGGGGCAGATGAGCACCCAGCCTGGTCGGCTGCACGCAAGAGTGGCCCTGGGCAGGAGTGGCCAGTGGCGCGCGGCTGTCGCGGGGGGCGCGGGACGGCCTGACTCAAGCGCACGAGCCGACGCTGTCGCATCGCATTCAGAGATCGGGGGGCCCTGGAGGGACCGCAAGACCGGGACAGCATCAGTCTTGGTCAAATCGGGGATCTCACTGATTCGGCCGTTCTGGAGGAAATATCGGGCGCCGCGCCCGTTCCAGAGCGCTCCGGAACTCTCTGGGAGCAAAAAAGAGCACCCGAATCATCTTGGATTGACCTGGTCCGGGTAGGCCTTGCCCGCTTCATGTGGGCGTTTTCTTCGTCGGCGTTTCGACATTGGGCGGAAGGGGGAGGGGGAGTGGGGGGGGTCTGGTTCCAGACCTCTGCTTAACGCGACTGTTTGCAACAGTGTGCCCCATGAGGGGGAGACTCCACCTGCTTGAAACAGACGCCCAAACAGCCAAGATCTACTCCATGGGGGGGAGGGGGGTTGCAAGGGCCCGCGCCGATCGGCAATACAATGAACAAGAAAACGGTCACCATCCAGAAGGTCTCCTGTTTCAGGAGTGCTGGGCAGCATCTACGTCGGGCAAGATGAGATGTGGTGCTGGAGAACTCGGGTTGAGGTCAACCCGGGCCAACTCTGGCGTGACAGCGGGAGCCAAAATCAGGAGTTTTCCCTCACTGCCCTTCTCAAGTTAGCCCTTCCCGACGGACATCGAGGACCGCGACTTCGGCGACGACGACGACGACCACGACTGGGACTACCAGTACGAGTGGGCGTAGCTACACGAATGCGGGGGTTTACGTACGTGGGTCTCGTGCTGCCTCTCACAGTGTTGCCCCTGGGGATAGGAGCAAGGTGTTCGACGAGGGCGTGACGCCGCGAGGTGGCGGCGGGTGCGGCGTGACTCCCCGCCTGTGGACCGCCCGCTCCTTTTGATTTTGAGTTCTCTCGTGCTTGGGTTTGGACGGTGGTTCTAGTTTCCCTCACTGCCCTTCTCAAGTATTTGTCTTCCCTCCACCACCGGTGAGAACCATCAAAGGCCTTACCAGTGAGGACCGCCATAAGGCCTCACACCCTCGGCAGCTCCCATCATAGGGGCCACGGGGGGCTACTCCCCACGAGCCTAGCACCGCACGTGCAAAGCTGGGGGTGGCGGCCCGTCTTCCCATCCCACCATTATAAGGGGCGCGAAGTCCCAGGAAACGGGACGGGGTGGGCACGAGTGGGCATCATAGCCAGCTCAAAACCAATAGAGGCAGCATAGCCTCATCGTCCATCTTATCATTGAATTCGTTCCATGCGTAGCATGCGCTCTCCCCCTCTGCCCTGACAACTCGGGGCTCTGACAAACGGTCACTGCCTAGGCATGCGATGTCTTCATTTTTCAATGCGCTGCCCCCCGAAATCTCAACCCTTGCCCCGGGGCTGGCTTTTCGTCCTGACCCGCTTTCGGTGTTTGACGGTCCTGGGGCCCAGCGAGGGCCCCCAGAGACCGAAAGCGCAGAAAACCTCGGGCCTGATGTTTTCAAGACATTGCCTGTCTGGGTCTGGCGAAGGGTCACGCTTACTGCTTACTCTGCGTTTGATCGTAAACGTGTGTGGGGGGGGGGGGGGGAGACGCCCCCTCTCCGACATCCCCAAACCGACCCCGGTCATGGGTAAACGCTGCCGCGCCAAAAACGACCCCCTCCCCCCTTCCCGCGGTGCGCCAACGGAGCGCATCTGACTCACGCAGCGCCACGCGGACAAGTTGACGTGGACCCCCCGTCAGGGGGGAACACCCCACGCCCATCACCTAACGCACAGTCCGTGTATCTGTAGTTCAAGGATGGGGTCCTGAAGGATGGGGCCCTGAGGATGGGAAGGGATCCGTGGGTGGATTGACACTCTTTTGGGCACACCTTCCTTGGGACCCCATCCCTCAGGACCCCATCTTGGAGCCACCAAGTGTAGCGGGGGCCTTGGCAAGCCGACGCGTCCGCGGCGGCGGACGCGCCCGCAGCCGCCGCGGTGGGCGGCCGCTGCTGCGCGCGCCGCCGCTCCGACGCCGCGGGGGGGCGCGGCGGCTCGGGCGGCTCCGCCTCGGGCGGCTCCGCCGCCGCCGGCGGCCTGTTGCCCTCGGGCGTGCGCGCGGTGGCCCGCCGCGGCCACAGCGTCTGCACGGCACAGCCCTGGTCGGTCGCCATGCCCGTCGGTGCGGGCGCGCTGTGCGCATGGCCTGGCCTGGCGTGCGCGCGCGCGCCCGCGCGGACCCCCCCCTTCCCCAGCCCTGAGAAAACATAGTCGCAAAGGGACGCACTACGCACAAGCAAACGCACAGACAGGCAGACAGGCAGACAGGCACACAGACAGACAGACAGACAGACAGACAGACAGACAGACAGACAGACAGACAGACAGACAGACAGACAGACAGACAGACATACAGGCAGGCAGAGAGACAGACAAACAGACACACACACACACACACACACTCGCACACACACGCACACAGACATATACACACACACACGCAACACACACACACACGGGCGCACGTACACACAAGCATTTTGACGTCGTGGCCGTGCGCGCTACGATAAGGCGGGGAAGAAACGCGCGCACACACACACACATTGGGCGCCGCGGCCACGCGCGCAGCGGCACGGCACACTGCAGGTCAAACGAGAGGCGCGCGCTGGCTGGCCCCGAACACACGGCGTGGAGATACCGGATCCGCCCATATGGGGTTCGACCGCATCACTCGCGAGGGGACAAGTCGCGCGCGGAGCAGCGGGGGAACGGGGGGAGAGACGCGGGATAGGAAGCGGAAGACGAACGGTGCGGCAGTGCGTGTAGACAGGGAGGAGGCGCAACCAGAGGGCGAGGAAACAGACAGCGGCGGAGCTCACACGCGCAAGCACGCACGCACGCACGCACGCACGCACGCACGCACGCACGCACGCACGCATACTGTTGAAGCGGTTAATATTACAGTAATAATTCCCTGAACAATTTTTCCGGTAATGTAATGGGCGTGCGTGACTTTCTGGTTGGATTTGTTTGTTCAGGAAGGTGGGTGGATTCTAGAAGGGAATTAACAGGAGTTGGGGAGGATTTGGGAATTGGGGGGGGGTACAAAGGAAAGAGCAGGAGTTGGGAAGTTGGGACCCGGGGATGATTCTACAAAGGAAAGAGCAGGAGTTGGGGGGGATTCTGGAATTGGGGAGGATTCTACAAAAGGAAAAAAGGAGGAGTTGGGGAGGATTTGGGAATTGGGGAGGATTCTACAAAGGAAAAGGAAGGAGTTGGGGAGGATTTGGGAATGGGGGGGGGTTTCTACAAAGGAAAAAGGAGGAGTTGGGGAGGATTTGGGAAGTGGGGAGGATTCTACAAAGGAAAAAGGAAGGGTTGGGGAGGATTTGGGAATTGGGGAGGATTCTACAAAGGAAAAAGGATGAGTTGGGGGGGATTTTGGAATTGGAAATGATTCTACAAAGGAAAAAAGTAGAGTTGGGGAGGAATTTGGAATTGGGGAGGATTCTACAAAGCAAAAAAGAGGAGTTGTGGAGGATTTGGGAATTGGGGGGAGGGGGGGCTTCTACAAAAGAAAAAGGAGGAGTTGGGGAGGATTTTGGAATTGGGGAGGATTCTACAAAGGAAAAAGGAGGAGTTGGGGAGGATTTTGGAATTGGGGAGGATTCTACACAGGAAAAAAAAGAGCTGGGGAGGATTGAGGAATTGGGGATGATTCTACAAAAGGAAAAAGGAGGAGTTGGGGAGGATTTGGGAATTGGGGTGGATTCTACAAAGGAAAAAGGAGGAGTTGGGGAGGATTTTTGGCATTGGGGAGGATTCTACAAAGGAAACAGGATGAGTTGGGGAGGATTTGGGAATTGGGAAGGATTCCACAAAGGAAAAAGGAGGAGTTGGGGAGGATTTGGGACTTGGGGAGGATTCTACAAAGGAAAAAAGATGGAGTTGGGGAGGATTTGGGAATTGGTGAGGATTCCACAGGAAAAAAAAAGGAGTTTGGGGGGGAGTTGGGAATTGGGGAGGTTTCTACAAAGGAAAAAGGAAGAGTTGGGGAGGATTTGGGACTTGGGAGTATTCTACAACGGAAAAAGAAGCTGGGGAGGATTTGGGAATTGGGGAGGATTCTACAAACGAAAAAGGAAGAGTTGGGGAGGATTTGGGGCATTGGGGAGGATTCTACACAGGAAAAACGATGAGTTGGGGGGGGATTTTGGAATTGGGGAGGATTCTACAGAAGGAAAAAGGAGGAGTTGGGGAGGATTTGGGAATTGAGGAGGATTCTACAAAAGAGAAAGGAGAAGTTGGGGATGCTTTGGGAATTGGGGAGGATTCTACACAGGAAAAAGGATGAGTTGGGGAGGATTTGGGAAGTGGGGAGGATTCTACAAAGGAGAAAGGGGAGTTGGGGAGGATTTGGGAATTGGGGAGCGTTCTACAAAGGAACAAGGAGGAGTTGGGGAAGATTTGGGAATTGGGGCGGATTCTACAAAGGAAAAAGGATGAGTTGGGGCGGATTTGGGAATGGGGTGGGTTCTACAAAGGGAAAAAGAGGAGTCGGGGAGGATTTGGGAATTGGGGAGGATTCTACAAAAGAGAAAGAAGGAGTTGGGGCGGATTTTGGAATTGGGGAGGATTCTACAAAGGAAAAAAAATGAGTTGAGGGGATTCTTTGGGAATTGGTGAGGATTCTACAAAGGAAAAAGGAGGAGTTGGAGAGGATTTGGGGATTGGGGAGGATTCTACAAAGGAAAAAGGAGGAGTTGGGGAGGATTTTGGAATTGAGGGGGGAATCTTCAAAGGAAAAAAAGTTGAAGATGATTTGGGAATTGTGGCGGGTTCTACAAAGGAAAAAGGAAGAGCTGAGGAGGATTTGGGAATTGGGGAGGGTTCTACAAAGGAAAAAAGAGGATTTGGGGAGGATTTGGGAATTGGGGAGGGTTCTGCCGAGGAAAAAGGAGGAATTGGGGAGGATTTGGGAATTGGGGAAGATTTCATAAAGGAAAAATGTGTTGGAGAGGATTTGGGAATTGGTGAGGATTCTACAAATTCTCCACAATTCCCAAATCCTC